CTTGGCATGGTTAAACTTCCTAAGTGGGCATGAGCCCACCTCACAAGCATGTCAAGGTCCCTCTGGATGGCATTCCTTCCCTCCAGCGTATCAACCGAACCACACAGCTTGGTGTCATTGGCAAACTTGCTGAGGGTGCACTCAATCCCACTGTCCATGTCACTGATAAAGATGTTGAACAAGACTGGTCCCAACACTGATCCCTAAGGGACACAACTCATTACTGGTCTCCAGCTGGACATTGAGCCATTGACCACAACTCTTTGCATCTGGCCATCCAGACAGTTCTTTATCCACCTAGGTCAAAGTGATCAACATCAAGAGGACAGTGAAAGGCATACCTCTGATCTAAGATGATGTTTTGAAATAAAGACTTCAGCTTGTTTGCACCTCTGAAGATAATTGGTATCAAACACTCACTGGCTTCTTCTGTGTATGAAGCTTGAATCTTCACTACTCCTGTCCTCTGAGGTCATCCCTGCTTGTGCAAAGGGCGCTACATATGAGCACAAATAATGTGAAAGCATATGATGACATCAGACAGAACTTGCTTGGATGTCAGGCTTCCATTCGCCACACACAAGTCTTTTCAACAGTGTTCAGGTTTTGCAGAACCAGTACAACTTCTCTCTTTTGGAGCAAATCCCACAAGGTCACATCAGGGACTGCATGGCTGTACTGCACCCTTGTGACCTGTGAAGACAGGCTGAGAGTCCTGGTTTAAGCCAGCCAGCAAGTAACTACCACACAGCCGGTTGCTCCCCCCAGTCCTCAGTGGGATGGGGAGGAGAATCGGAACAAGGTAAAACCTGCAGGTTGAGAGATGAACAGTTTCATAATTTAAACAAAGTAAAATATAATAACAATATTAGAAATAATAGGAAAAAGAGAGGAAGAGGAATAAAATTCAGGAAACCCAATGCAGTTGCTCACCACGCACTGACCAATTCCCACCCCACCCTGAGGTGTGATCATCCCCTTCCACCCAATTCCTCCCAGTTTATATACTGGGCATGACATGCTGTGGTATGGAATACCCCTTTGGCTAGTTTGGGTCAGGCGTCCTGTCTCTGCTTCCTCCCAGCTTCTTGTGCTCCTCCTCACTGGCAGAGCATGAGACTGAAAAGTCCTTGATCAGAGGAAGCGCTACTTAGCAACAGGTAAAAAATCAGCAATGATGCTAAATTGAGTCAGTGGTCACAATTTCCCCCTGCCACCTTTGCCTTTCACCCACCTACTGCCATTTATTGTTGTCTGCTTATTTTCTCATACTTGTTTTGGTCACCTTCCAGTGCAGGTGTTCTCCTTTTATCAGTCCTTTAGCTCTCCTTCCAAGTTTAAGGTAGCTAGTAAGGAATGTATTGCTTATACAAACTCTGTTTTTTCCAAGTGATGTTGCTCATCAGGCCAGACACTGTTATCACCATGGCAAATTCTATTCTCACTGTACATAAACAGGAAAAGGGGGAAGTGCTTTAAACTGAAACAGAGGAGATTTTGATTGGTTATTAGGAAGAAGTTCTCCCCTGTGAGTGTGGTGAGACACTGGAACAGGTTGCCCAGAGAAGCTGTGGCTGCCCCATCTCTGAAGTGTTTTAAGGCCAGGTTGGATGGTGCTTTGAGCAACCTTGTCAAGTGGAAGGTGTCCATGCCTGTGGCAAGGGACTGGAACTGGATGATCTTTAAGTACCGTTCCATGATTTTATTTAGGCTGGTGCATTCAGTGGTGCCAGGAAATGAGTCTGTGGGTTTTGAGCATTCTGGATTTCACTATGGGCAATGAACTCTGTCCTCACCCATGAACTGCATGGGGACTAAGAGCTTCTGCGATGGTACTGGGTCAGCCACAGTTCTGCCCATCTTCTACACTAAAAGTATGCAGTGTTCCTTAACACTGAAGACAACTGCATGAAAACACAAAATACTCTTCTTTCCTAACTGGTTTGAAGACATGTAAATGAATAGGATTATTTTTATCCCACAGAGGACAAGAATAATTCCTCTGGCAGCATATCCTTTCACACAGCCAAACCAACACACTTCCTTTGGAAGCTGTTGCCATGGCATCTGTCCAGTGTCTTCACAGGATCTTCCAGATTTCTGAGATCTAACAAGAAAGAAAGAAAGCACTAGTTAAATGACACACAGCAAAGTTGCTGGGAGATACATGACTCCAGTACAGCCTGTAGAATGTATTCATACTGTTGTAGTTAATTGGGATTATTTTTTTTTTTTTCTGTATGGCATTTCATTCATAGGCATTGAGTTTTCTCTTCTGATTTTTGGCAAAAAAGACCAAATTGCTATAATAATATTTTCATTCAGTCAATCAGGGCAAAACTCATTTTAACTAACTTCAGCCACCTATGTGCCTAGCCTAAGGGCTCTGTCTAGGCTCCTGTTAGAATTAGTGGAAGGAGAAGGGTTCCTCCCAGATGTGATTTTTCCAGCCTACTTTAGACACCTAATTTAGAGGTGATTTACCCTTTGGAAACATTTATCCCTCTCCTTTAACTACAGTGGGACCATGAATGGACTAAATTGATGGATAGGTAAATTGTTAAAATGAGTATGAGCAAAGACCTCTGCTTTCAGTGTCATTTCTGGGATAGAAATCACCAACCAAAACAAAACCACTGAGGGAACGGCCTGGGCCACACTTTCATGTGTCTGGAAACAATGGTGCTACAGTCAAAATGGCTTTTTGTCCCATCCTTCAACCCTAGCAGAGGAGAAAAGCCTCCCAGCATATAAAGGCAGTGGGATTCCACGCCCAGGAAATAAGTGAGGATAAATTAACACTGAGACAACTGTATAAGGCTGCTTTGTCCAGGACTGGAAATGCAACAGCTGGACACAGTTTCACTGCTCTGCGGCTTGTGCAATGGGAGGATCCTTTATTCTGGACAATAAGCACCGCATTACAGGGCTTCAACTACCCACTGTTCATTGTGGCAGGGTCCCCCACACTTTTATGGCCTGTGGCAGGCCCGGACAGCTACATTTTGGAATAACTGCATTTTTGGTCAGTAAACTGGAAGTAGGAGTGAGGAGTGAGATCTAGCATGTCAGACAAATATATATGTTTACCAAGAGCTGTTAGAAAAGATTAATTCTATAATCAAGGATTAAATAAATTTATCACCAATTTTTGAATTTGGTGTTTAACTTGTGATTAAAAGAAAATGTATCTTCAACATTCTTCAAAAAAAACCAAAACAGATTTCTTCAATTTCTCTCTGTATGTGTTATTTTCCCCCAAACGAACTCTTCTAAGATAAAATTGCATCTAGATTGTCAGTCTGCTGATGATGCACAATAGACTGGCATGTGACAGGAGACAGGTGAATCTGAATAGATCCAGACTTTTCATTACTGTGATGCTTTCGACTGCAGGCAGACTTCAATGCACATGGGGAGCCTGGGGGGACATGGACAAGCAGAGAGTGCAGGAAGACTGCCTATTTTTTGTAGAATCACAGAATAGTTTGGGTTGAAAGGATCTTCAAAGACCATCTGGTCCAACCCCCCTGCAATGAGCAGGAACATCTTCAACTACATCTGGTTGCCCAGAAACACATCCAGCCTGGCCTGGAGTGTCTCCAGGGATGGTGCATTCACCACCTCCTGGGCAACCTGTGCCAGTATTGCGCCACCCTCAATATAAGGAATTTTTTCTTCATATCATGCTTGAATCTCTCCTCTTTTTAGTTTAAAACCATTATCCCTCATACTAATGTAACAGGCTCTGCTAAAAAGCCTTGCATCTGTGAGTTATATCAGAGTGACTCAGGTCAGCAACTCAGGGGTCCTAGTGATCATTGCACACTTTGTGTGGAGATGGAATCCCTTGTGATCATTGTGCTATGTGCAAAGGGTATGATAAGTGTCACTGTCAATACCACAGTGAGGAGGAAGAAGAAACAAGGGAATAATTCCCCTGGGTCAACCGCAGTATTGTGCAATGAAATGTTTTGTTCACTGTTTAAATTGCCTGAATGTTCTTAGGAAAGGGGGGGGGGGGGGGTAGGTAACTTAGAGATATGTCCTGTTACAGGACGTTGTGAAATCTGTACGCTGAACAAATAAACACATAAGGAGAGGAATTTATGGGGGCTAAGACGGCAGTCAGATTTGTGATAGGGATAATATTTGTTCACCCAGAGACAAGACCGCAACAACAGGTGGAGAAGCCTGGGAAAAGAAGACAACAGGACTGGCTGGAACCCAAGAAGCCCAGGAAAAGAAGACAACAGGATTGGCTGGAACCCAAGAAGCCCGGGAAACCAAAAAGTATAAGAGACTATCCCCAGAAGTTCCCGGTGTGAGTCTTGGGCAGAGCGGAGACTCCCCGGCGTACCTGGAGCTGCTTGCTTATTGTCTCTTGATACTAATTATAATAAAAATCAATTAAAACAGATCAGCTAGATTTTTATAACACATCTTCCTCACAGGCCTAAGAACTGAAATGCCACAAAAAAGGTGTCTCCTGCGCCTTCTCTTCTCCAGGCTGAACAGACCCAGCTCTATCAGCTTTCCCTCATGGTCCCTGCTGATTTGAGACAGCTTACTTTGAAATCCTGTATTATTAGAGCCAAAAACGCTCTGCCCCTGAATTTCATTTACTAAAATTATTTTCTCTGAAGGTGTAAGCAGGGCCAGTACTCTGCAGAATGAAGCAGAGCACCAGGCACGTCTGATCGGCACCAGGGGCAGAGCAGCAGCATTACTTAAAAATGATGTGCCGGTATGGCAGCTTGGGTGTATTTGACCTTCTCTTTACCAGGCAGATATATATTCACAGACACCTCCCAGCTACTACTACGAGGCCCACGGCTTCGGCACACCGCAACCGAGCTTTCTTGCCTGGACCGCCCAGGTCTCACTGCGACACTAGGGCCTTCAGGGACGGTGATGAGGATCAGCCCCTGCCATCAGGCCAAGCCAGGGCGGAGCGGGCAGGGAGAAGACGAAGCCCGCCCACAGCCAAGCCGCCGTAGCACTGGCACAGCCGCGCGCAACTGTCCCGCCTCCGGAAGCAGTAATAGGGCTTTAGCGGAAGCGAGGAGGGGCTTGGTCTCTTTGGTGCTGGTGGCCAGGCAAGATGGTGAGTGTTGGGGCGCGGGCGCTGAGTATCCGCCGCCATCGCCTTCGTGTGGGGCCTCGCGGGGCTGCGGGAGTTCTGTGATGTTCGGGGCGCGCTTACGCTTTGCTGCGGCCGCGTTTGGCGGCGGGGCGTTGAGGCGGGGCAGGTTTGGCGGAGCCGGGACGTGAGAGCCCAGCAGCGGACCGCGCTGCCACCGCTTCTGGGGCGCGGGGCGGCGCATTCGCGTGGGAGGGCCGTGGCGGGGCCCTGCAGCCGCCCGGGCGCCACTGTGGTCTCCTGCGGAGTCTGGGGGTGCCTGCTGCGCGGTACCACAGCAAGAGGAGGTTCTGTGGGCAGACCTTGTGAGTGTGCGGCGGGTCTGCGGGAGGCAAATCGTTCTTACAGCAAAAAGCAGCTTATTGTTCATTAGTGATGAGCTTGGGGGTGCCAGGAAGGCAGCTGGGGATGACAACTCAGTGTTACTTCAGAGTATGGGCGGCGGAGGGGAGGCCATAATGAATGGCGGCGGGAGGCATAAGGAAGTGATCTCTAGAAATGGAGGCAACCTATAGGCGAAACTGAGCTGGTGCTTCAGAGTTCAGTGTGCTGCTGATGTGATTATTGGGCTCTGGTCTTTTGAAGAGCTTGCTTGTCTAGATGCATGATCTGTAACTGCTGGTGGTATTCCCAACATGCTGTGTCTTTAAATGCTTTCCAGACGAAGGGTACATCGTCATTCGGTAAGCGGCGAAATAAGACTCACACCTTGTGTCGCCGATGTGGGTCTAAGGCATACCATCTGCAGAAATCTACCTGTGGAAAATGTGGTTACCCTGCTAAGCGTAAGAGAAAGTGTAAGTAACAACGCTTTTACTTGGCTTCTTCAGTAGTCTCTGATCAAGGAGGAATACTGTGTCATCCTGCAGGGTTTGGAGTTTATTAAACTAATTCTGATTACCTATATTTTAGCTAATGTGCAGTATTACTGCACAGAAATCGACTTTATAGTTACTCTTTTTTTTCTGACAGATAAGGATAATTGTGTTATACAAATGTAATGTGCAACTTAATGAATTGATGCAAAAGAGTGACAGTAGCTTGTATGTTTTAGATAACTGGAGTGCAAAGGCTAAAAGACGCAACACCACTGGTACTGGTCGCATGAGGCACCTGAAGAAGGTCTACCGTCGGTTCAGGTATAATGTTTTATTACAACCTGGCATGGTGTGAAATCCTGCATAAATACCACTTAATGATAAAACTCATCAATAAAAGTTTTTTTATTTACTTAGCATATTTGATATCATATATTCTTTAATATATCATGAAATAAATGATGCTTTATATAATTGACTCCATATTCCTTTGAGGATAAAATACTCAATCCCTGTTAAGGCATACTGTATAATAAGCTCTTATGTTTTTATTAAGTGTAGATACTACAGAACACAGATTATTGTTTTTAAATTACCACATTTTAACATACATATTTTATGTAGTATTACCTCTGTTTGTGAGACAGTATGCTGGTTACACTGAAGTGTGGAGGTTTCCTAAAACACAAGTCAGAAATGCGTTCCAATTCTCTTTCGCCCACAAAAAAAGTTCAGGACTGAAATAACTTCAGTAGTTACTCTCTTATTTCAAGTTAGCAAGGAAGTAAAGTATCAGGCTCTGATTTACAGGTTTCTGAAACTTGTTACAAAGCTTTGAGTTGTACTTTTGAGGTAATGGTAGAGATAGATACTGTACTGTTAAACTCGCTGAGAAATTCTTTTGTATGACCTCCATGTTCTAAAACTGAGGCCTATAGCTTCTGGCCTAATACTTCAGAAAGCTGGGTGAAAAATACCAGTTCAAGAGTCTTGTTGTGAAAATGTTGACTGGCTTTAGGAGGGGAAAGTAGGAGTCGTCTTAAGCCCGAGACATGGGTGTAGTTGGGAGATCATTTTGTCTGTGCTGGTGAGCCTAGACTTGCACAGCAGCAGCCGGAAAGCACGTTGCAGTGTACAGCTGTAGCCTGCATTCCACTGGGCATTGGTGACATAGAAATGTCAAATCCAAAACAGAGCTTAGGGCTGAGGCTTCTTTTTGTCATGTCTGTCCTAATGTCTGGTTGCAGAAATAGAGTATTCCAGTAAGAAGTTTGCTTGTACTTAACAAACATGAAATATTTTGTTGAATTGCTTAGTAGGAGCATGAAGTGAGGTGTGCTTTCAGCAGGTGTGCTGTATCTGATGCAGTCTTGCAGTATTCACTCGGGTACTGAAATCTTGCTATTTGAAGAAATCAGGTTTACCTCAGCAGAAAGGAGTGAATAATGTATTGCTTATTCCAAACACTTATTAATAAGGTGTTTCTTACTAAAAGTGAACATAGGAATTCCACAGTGATTTCAGTGCATCCCTGAAAAAAGCTGGTGAACTTGATACAAAATATTGCTTGTAAGAAAATAACTTGGAGGGGGAATTATCCTTTCAAAATGTAACCATATTTCTGTTTGTAGGAATGGATTCCGTGAGGGAACCACCCCGAAGCCCAAGAGAGCAGCTGTTGCGGCCTCCAGTTCATCATAAAGACTCATCTGTTTGTTAAAATAAATGGTCTTAGACAGAAAATCTGTCACCTTCTATGTTTTACTTAGTGAAATGTAGGATTCCTGAAAATGCATTTATTTACGCATGGTGTTTCTTGATGGTATGCATTGAAGTGATTTACTAAAAACAGTCTTTTCACTTCTCATTTGATAGTACCTCTGTGTTGAAAAGAACTGTTATCTCTGTGCTGAAATTAAAAAAGGCTTGTATGTGTTACTCAAAAGAACTCAGCTGGGAGAGAAATGGAGTATTGGCCCCATGGAGTTGCCTTGCTTGCTTCCCAAGTTTCATTGTGCTCTGGCATGGAGAGTCAGAATTTTATCTTGAAGAGACTAACTTGAATAATGACTGCCTGCTGTTGTAGGAGGCAGTAGTTAATGAGGCACTTCCAGTCTTGGCCTTTTTTTCACAGCATGGGGCTGGAAGGCCTGCAAAAGTATTGTTCAGTGGGTCATTGAGTCGGGCAAAAAAGAAACTCCCAAGTCTGGAGCACACATACTGCCCAACACAAAGGGGTTGAAGATCTGCTGTAGTTTGGACAGAAGGTGCCAAGATGGTCTGGGGAGGTCGGTGAGATAAGCTGATGCACAAAGTGATCTGTGTTAACTATGCTGGGTGTAGACAGTAAAAGGTAGGTAGCATGATCCAGAAGCAAGTCCCCTGGGGGATTTCCAGACTGATGGACTGGTGCCTCATGCAACTTGCAGCCAGGTGTGAAATTGGAGTGCACCTGGCAGTACTTTATTGCATTTTTGAATTAAGTACAGTTAATGCTTTTGAATGCTTTACCTACTTGGGCTGTTTCTAAACAAAGGTCTTTTCCCTGCTGCTCTGGTTACATGTAGCAAACACACTATGCACTCTGCTTTCAACTGGTCCTTCTGAGAGTGCAGGTGGTGGTGAAGCTGTTAAAATACACTTCATGTACTACATCCGTATACATCCAGGGCTCAGAAGTGCATCTGAAGTGTGGGTTTTGGTGGTACACCAGGTACCTCAATACCACCAGGGCAACATGTATGTGTAGGAGGTAGTAAAGGTAAATGTGTCTTTGTTAATCTCTAACAACAAAGTGCATCAAAGCATCTTAAAACAGGTCAGCAAGGCTCTAAAGGCTTGTTGGGCAGTGCTACAGCAGGTATTCTGGCTGTGGGTGGGAATGAAAGCCTTTGTTTTGCAAAGTCTTGCATAATCTTTCCGTAATGGGGTTTTGTTCTGGACAATGACTCACATGGTACAATACTGCAAGAGCCAATGCTTAGCTGTTCACTGCTGCTACTTAACTAGCTCTTCAGCATAAATCTTGCTGAAAAACAAGCATTTATGTAATGCATACCAAGGTGACTGAAAGCTGAGAATTTAACAGACTGTTTCAGGTGGAATTTTACCTATGACAAGAAGTTGCTGCCCTGAGCAGCAATCTGGGCCTTCGAGATAACTTCCCCCCCCCAGTTTATATACTGGGCTTGATGTGCTGTGTTATGGAATGTCCCTTTGGCTAGCTTGGGTCAGGTGTCCTGTCTCTGCTACCTCCTGGCTTCCCATGCCCCTCCTCACTAGCAGAACATGAGACTAAAAGTCCTTGATCAGAGTAAGCATTACTTAGCAACAGCTAAAAACATTGACGTGTTACCAGCGTTGTTCTCAGATTAAAGTAAAAACAGCACTGCACCGGCTACTAAGAAAGAAAAATGCCTGCTACATCTGAACCCAGGACAACACCAAATTTGACAGCCACTGCACTTTGAACTGTTAAAAAATTCTTGGTGATGGGCAGGAAATCAGTTAACTTGAGTTTGTTTTAGACCTCTTCAGAAGAGCTCAGGTAGCTCATGTATCGGTCATAGCTGGACTGAAATCTTTACTGGATATAGATTCTGAAGCCCTTCAGTTTTCATAGTGTTTTCTTAAATGTTGAAAGCTGGACTGTGTTGTAGTTTAAACCCAGGCAAGCAACTCATTCACTCACTCCCCCCCCTTCTTTCCCTCCCCCTACTCCCGGAGGGACGGAGAGGAGAATCAAAACAAATGCAACTCCCACAGGTTGAGATAAGAACAGTTTAATAACTAAGGTAGGTATAACACAAATCACTACTGCTACCACCAATAATAATAACAATAAAGGAAATAACAAGGGAAGAGAATGTGACACCTCACCACCACCCAACCAATAACTCACCCCACCTCAGACCGACCAAGCACCAACCGATACCTCCTCCAACCCCGCAGTCCCCCAGCCCTTCCGGGTAACTCTCAGTTTCATCCTGGGCATGACGTGCTGTGGTATGGAATACCTCTTTGGTCAGTTTGGGTCAGGTGTCCTGTCTCTGCTTCCTCCTGGCTTCCCCTCTTCCCTGGCAGAGCATGAGACTCACAAAGTCCTTGGCCAAACCAAAACTTCATTGTTACCAGCTCTGTTCCCAGGCCAAAAATCAAAACACAGCACTGCACCAGCTACCAAGAAGGAGAAAAATTACTACTGCTGAACCCAGGACAGACTGCCTTGCTGTTTTTTCTGTATATGAATAATCTTTTGTTGAGATCTTGTTACAATCAACTTATGGGTTACCAGTTACCCACTTAAACTTTGTGACACCTCAAACCTAGATGGACCATTATCGTCATAATTGGTTCCACTTGCAGAGCCTTTTACCTCTTGTACCAGGGCACCTGGGAAGATGAGGCAGCCACAGAGGAGATGCACCTACTGTGCTGGGCAGGAACTAATAACCATTGCCCCTTACCACTTAAGTAACTGCGTTCTACTGGATGGAGAGAGGATATCCATATCATGTCCTTTCTTGCCTGACAGGCCTGTCCCAGTGATGATGGGGTGTGGTTCCCATAGTCAATCTCCTCAGACTCTCTGCTACTCCTCAACCTCCCTCCCTTGACGCAGGAGTTATGGACAATGCAGAGACGATCAATATGATCAAGCGATTGCCAAATTTATTCACACACCTCAACAGTTTTTATAGTTTATAAGACTAGTTGATGTAACCAATACAGATTCTGATTGGCTCAAAAGTGCTGTCCACACATTTTCGTAGTAGATAACAGGTTTGCTGAAAGCTTGTTCATTTGTTACTTTTTGCACACATCTTATAGTTTTCCCATCCTGCTTCTATATCTTGTTAACCTTGAGCAAACACCAAGTTCCTTGTTCTATCGCACATAGCTGTCCTTTAGTAACCTAAGGTTAGGCCTTGCAGCCTGGGTAACTTGAGTTCAGGCCTTACAGCTTAACTCAGAGTTTGGCTAAGACCAAACAGCTGGGATGGCTCACATGTCCATTGTTCAACTGTATTCTTCATAGCCACCATCTCCTAAGGCTAAGACGTCTGGGTTGGTCACAAAATGTCCACGGTTCCTTAGCCAATCCACACTCCCTCCTCCCGGAGCTCTGTCACAAAGCAGGAGTTGCTCTACAGCACCAGCTGGTGTAGGAGCCGGGCACAGCCTGCAGCCTGGAACCTGGGTGGCAGCATGTTCCCACCGAGCTCTGCCTGGGAGAATGCATCATTTGCGGTGGGTGCAGAGTTTAGAGGGGATACAAGCTACTTCAGATAGATGCCATTGCTCCCTGGCAAAGCTGAAAGAGCTACAGCAACCATCCTGCGCAAACTGCCAAGCTCTGCTCAATTCACGTGCACAGCTTGCAGTGTTCCTGCTCACTAGGGCTGCCCTGGGGGTTATTTTATAGGTGGGGGGCTTGGCCACCATTGCTCCTGGCCCTGCCCAGGTCTTGTCATCTGCTGTTACAAGTGATGAGGGCTCCTGGTAGGTTTCTCAGCGCCTTGGAGTTCCCCTGGTTCAGGAGAATCCCCATGTGTCAGTGACAATAGATAATGGTCCGTGGTGAAACACACAAAAATAGAACAGTACTGTTTGGCACAGGTTGTGGGAACATAACCTTGAAAATAGGGGAGTTAACACTGCTGTTATTAAAAGGGAGTCTTATACCAGTTGCAAGACACATGAGATAATGGTCCATGGTGGCTCCTCCCTGAAAATCCCCTAAAAGTCCCTCAGTCCACTTTGAAAATCCCCAGAGACCCTTTTGTACTAACTGCGCAGTGGTAGCAAATAGCCACAACTGGCCACTCCTTCTGATGTAGGCTGGCCCCCTATGTCGGAATGAGTGTGCCCTTTTGCTAGCATAAAAGCCTGAGCCTCATGCAGCGCAGGGAGGCAGACCGTCATACCACCCAGGTCAACAGTTGAGCCTGTCACCTCATACTGCCATGATGTCTCTCAGAGATGGTTTCCTAACCATCACCACGTGGTCTCTGGGGTTGGTAAGATAAACACTGCTAACAAGATCCACCACTGTTTCTTTAACCCTTTCCTGCCTTTTCCTCCCTAGCTCTTTCCCCGCCCTCTTTCCCTCTGATAATAAACTACTTTTTTTATCCATTGTGTCTCACCTGTCTCTCAACTTGGAATCCTCAAACTCTGGAACACCCCAGTACATTGCACCAAAGCACTCCAGTGCAGATCGTGCCAATACTGGAGCAGACTGTCTCAACAACAGAGTGCTAATTTTGGTTATATAATGTTTAAATCTCCTACCACTGCTACTGGCCCTGCCCAGTGTGTTGACATTTTTGATATGCAGGAAATCAAGAACTGAGGAGGTCTTTTGAAGAAATCAAACATTAGGGAAATGTTAATGTATTGATACTAGTCAAGAGGTTTTTTGGCAAGGCACTCCCTTTTGCTCCAGCGTTCAGACAACACAATACCACTAGATGGAAGCGTCTCAGTGGGGACAGAAAGAATGGGAAAGACAGGCAGAAGGAAGAGGGGGCAAGAAAAATAGGAAAAGGGAGGGAGGAAGAAAGGGAAGGAGGAAAGGACTGAAGGAGAGAAGGCAAGAAAGAAGGAAGGGAGGACAGAGCAGAAAGAGGAACCTGTATGCGGGTTTTGGGAGGCTTGCAGAGCGCCAAGCTTGCTCCCCGTGGACAAGAGGTGCTCCCTCTCCTGGGGTATGGGTGGCCTTTGGTGGCTGCTGCTTCCAA